GGATTATCTAATGAAGATTGATAATCCCTTTTTCATCTACTCAAAAGTAAACATCTTCATAATCTTCAAGTTCTGCTTCAGTTTTAAAACCACAATCTCGGCTGCTTTCATTGGAAACGGTATTGGAAATGGTATATGTTACACGAAAGAAACGGAACATACTAACAAAGAACTCATAGAAAGAGTAAATCTAGCAGAAAAATCCAACATAAAATAAAAATACTAAAAAGAGAAAAACTGAATCTATCACTTAACTCCCATCCCAAGAACCTTTACACTTAACGCGTGACCCGGTAGAACCATGGGTGCAATCCAATTAACCCGAACCTTCTGCAAGAACCTCAATCACAAAGATCCCAAAGCTTGATAGAAAATTAACCACTTGGACCGCTTCTCAAACCCAAAACCATCTTTTGCAGACGAGGGATTATTATATAATACATTAGAAGATAATATATTAGGATGGATAAGCTTCGAAAATTAGAATCATCTATAATGGGCCATGCCAAAACAGAAGCCCAATAATCAAATACTTCGAAAATTAGAATCATCTGTAATGGGCCATGCCAAAACAGAAGCCCAATAATCAAATACTGCATGTGTGTAATTGGGAGACGTTTCTTATTGCCCAATGGACACGTGGACAAAATACCTTATTTCCGTGTCTTGCTCTCGATGGAAGGAGTATCACCGGGCCACCGGCCATCGCCGGAAATCCACCTCCTCATCTCACTCCGCCGGGAAAATCAAGTTCTGTCCATGCTTCTGAAGTTGATGATCACCACATATCCTAAAACCCATGATTTCAAAATGAATCAACATCAATCCAAACCAAATATTCTCCACCGATACAAGCAAATCCCAATCTTCTCTATCACCAGTCAAACTTTCTTCAAGATAAAACACAATAAGGAGCGACTAGAGAATGATTATCTTCACAATCGCCAATGAAAGGCGATGACACACACACGGAACAAATCCGGAGATAACCGGATTGTTGAAATAACATCTAATTTGGCCATGAACAGCCAAGCAAAGCGGCAAGACTAACCGACGGCAAACCGATCATCGTAGCTATGAAAACCAAACGATATCGGACAAAAGCCAACCAAACACCGTAATAGAATCGATGGATGTTGGAAGAAAAGCCCGAAGGACGGCGACAGCATCTGATTACCGGAAAAAGCTCCGGACAGCAACATAAGCGATCTCTCTCTTTGAAAAAAAAAGAAAAAAAAAGTACAAGAATAAAAATAAAAATTTCTTTTTACTATTTTAAATTTAAATAAATAATTCGTTAATTGTAAAAGAATTAAATTAATTGTAAATTAATTCGTTAGTAATAAAATATGGTCGACGTTTGTCTTCTAAGTGCGTGAAGTGTCGACTTGGGACACTTCCAAAGATATGCCCAATTGAAGGAAAAGCCAGAACAGCTTTTAAATTGCAATGGTCTCTTCGGTTTTATCCATCCCTCAACAAACTTGGCTACTTTCACGATTACCCATCTCTGATTCTGTCAGTTGCAAATCGAAACTCGTTTACTGTCTCTCCACAAGTGTCCGAGGAAGCTCCGTCAAGAGACAATCCACGGCCAGAACTCGAAGTTTCACTGAGACAAATCGTCGAACACCTTCCGTGCAATCCAAACATGAATTCTGGGAAGACCCAGATGATGGTAGCGACAGTGAAAACGAAGATGAAGAAGAAGATGGTATTGGGAATGATTTTGATTACGAGAGTGATTGGGAAGATGACTCGAGACCCAAGAAACTCACTACAACAGACAACTACGAGGAAGAGCTTGCAAAAGGTTCTTCTTTAAAGTCTCTCAATTTACTCATTTTTCTCCAAATTGTGTGTAAAAAATCACTCTTTAGTATGAAGAACTGGAATAGTTTTAAAAGTTTGTACTTTGTGTGTATGTGAATGTGTATCATTTGCAGAGGTTGAACAACTTCTTGAACCTGAAGAAAGAGCAATTCTTCAGCAAAATGAGAAACCAAATCTCAAGATGATCTCAACAGTAAGTTTTCATGTGATTTTCATCTTCAGTATCTCTTATATGCATATCAATCTGCGATCATTTGCTTCGAATGTCGTGGTTTTGATTCACTTGGTTTGTATACTTAATTGTTTAAATATGAAATTTGCAGAAGCATTGGAAACCACTACAGACACTTGCTCTGTCAATGCAGATTCAGTTAATGGATAACCTCATTGCAAATGGGCTAGACATTGATGATGTTGACAAGGTTTGCTTTTAGAACATGTAATGTTATCTGCCCAAATCTGGTTTGTTTTGTTTACTAAATCGTTGATTGAATCTACAAAAACAGGACAATCAAACCGCTCTTCATAAAGCAATCATTGGTAAAAAAGAAGCGGTGATTAGTCATCTTTTGAGGAAAGGAGCAAATCCGCATCTTCAAGATCGGGTGAGAACTTATCCGGTTCCATTTATATACCTTTTTGAAAAAGGCTCAAACGTTCAAAACCGGATCGGATTGTTCAAATGTTCAGGACGGTGCTGCTCCGCTTCACTATGCAGTTCAAGTTGGAGCCTTGCAGACTGTAAAACTACTAATCAAGTACAACGTAGACGTCAATGTTGCAGATAATGTTAGTACTTAGTAGCAACAAAAAGCATATCTCAAGCCATTAAAATTTTTCAGATTTCGATTCATTTCTTTGAAGATACGATGAAACTTTCTTTGTTTTACAGGAAGGATGGACTCCTTTACATATTGCTGTACAAAGCCGAAATCGAGACATTACAAAGATCTTGTTGACCAATGGTGCTGATAAAACAAGACGAACAAAGGTGTTAATGGCGAAAATATGTGTAGAGAAAAACTGAGACTATTTTTTTTTGTTCGATAACAGATCAATTTGGTTTCTTGCTGTCTTTATAGGATGGGAAACTAGCTTTGGACTTGGCTTTGTGCTTTGGAAGAGATTTCAAGTCATATGATTTGGTCAAGCTATTGAAGATTATGCCCACTGGAGATATATAGAAAGAGTTGGTGAGATTTTGAATGATCAGGTTGAGATTACTAGCCAGTGCTTGGTTTGATTGTAATCTAAACCGGTATAAGTGGTTAAGGTAGAAGGAACCCTATTGATTTTGTAATTACTACTTTTATATATTAATTTTAATACTGATTATCAGTATTTTAAGAAACAGTTTCGGCGATTTCTCCAATCATATAGTAGCAGTTGATCTTGATACAATGAAGAGCAGTGCATTTGGTGACATGAATGATAACCATGTTGGTATCGACATCAATGGCTTGAAATCAGAGAACGCTTCTTCAGCAGGTTATTACGAAGACGATGGTACTTTCAAAGACATCACTCTTGTCAATCGAAAACAGATACAAGCATGGATTGAATATGATTCCTCAAGGAAACAGCTTGATGTCACACTGCATCCTATCAATGTCCCTAAGCCAAAGATTCCACTGCTTTCTCTAACCAAAGATCTGTCGCCATATCTCCTGGAGTCTATGTACGTTGGCTTCACTTCATCCACAGGCTCTGCTCTTTCATCTCACTAGATTCTTGGTTGGACTTTTAAGCTAAATGGGAAAACTTCAAATATAGATTTATCTTGTCTACCAAAACTTGTGACTCTCGGAGTAGTCTGAAAAGGATCTTGGCTATAAGTTTGAGTTTAACTGCCGTCGCTGTCCTCATCATCTTATCATTAGTTTTATGCTCTTCTTGAAAAGGAACGAATTAATGGAAGTTCTTGAGGGAACGAACTAATGGCAGTTCTTGAGGACTGGGAGATTCAGTCCAAACACTTACCTTATAACTCATGTGTGCTTTCTTTATACTCCCTAGTTTAGTGCAAATCCAGAAGCCTCCTTTTAGAGTTTATAAAAGGAGGAAACAACAACAACAACCAAGCAAGTTTCACTTACGTCCATGTGACCAAAACAAGTCGAGATTTAATGATGAGGAGGAGTACTCGGCAAAAAGGACGAGCGAGACGAACATGATTATTTATATTATGTCTCGTCTCTTATGTTTCTTAAGTGTATTAATCAGATAGTTTATTCATGCTAGTAACAGCTTTTATATAAAATGGTAGATGGATGATACAACCTTGTCGATTTCTTAATACTAGTTGATTTCATATCTGCCTTTTCGGTTTATTGATACAGAAGGTAACATTCAAGATACCTTCTCGATTTATTGAGCATCCAAAAACGATTGTTGTAGCTGCGTTACTATCATAAGTGAATAATGGAAGAAATACGGGGAGATACAAAATGCTGGATTTATATAGAAAGCATTTGTGAATGAATGATTTGATTCTTAGGCTTGTGTGTTTCCTGGTCATATCTACACACATAAGGTAAGTCTCAATGAGCCTTAACGTAGGGAGTTACTTTGATCTTGTTATTTATGGAATAACATATCGTGGATGAACTTGTTATTCGGGTGTGTGAGTGACAAGCATTGCAAGATTGTGCAAGTGTATGTACCAATAATAACTTAAAGGGTTATGAATTGACTTTTATTGGGTTCTATAGGAAACAAAGAGTGAAGTCATTGACTCCTACGATGGTTATGCGATTGAATTTAATTTTGATTCAAATATTTAAAACAAAATTGACTCCGCCAAAATCGCATAACCGCCAAATATTATAGAAGACGTGGTTTTATGTTTTGTTTTAAATATTTAAATCAAAATTGAATTTCAGTAGAAAATTAGTTTTAAATATATTTAATATTTTGCTCTTTTATTTTAGTTATTAAGATATTAACATTTTAAATAAAAATAACCAATATAAAATGAAACATAAATGGGCTTAAATGGATACCTATTTATTTGGATGAACCCCCATTTAATAAATAGGTTTAATTGTGGTAACCCATTTAACCCCATTTAACATTTTTCCGTAAATGAGTTTAAATGGGTTAATTTTTTTTGTACATACCCATTTAATAAATGGGGGTTCCATGCCCAAGTTAACATCACTAATACATGCACATGCACCTATTCGTTGATCATTTCGCAGCAACATATTTTACAAGTTCCGGTCTCGTCACGTCTACAAAAAGCGGATTCGTAATTATATCCATATTTTCCAGACACGCAATCCGTAAAGCATGAGTCCGTGTACCGTGTACGGTCCAACCAGATGTTTGCAATCTGCTGCATCGACTGATTTTGGTCCTGCCAAAAGAGAAGCATTAGAAGCTATATATGCATGTAAGTAGTCTTGGCTAAATAAATACTATGTGTTAGAAGATATATATGCATGTGAGTAGTCTTGGCTAAATAAATACTATGTGTTAGAAGATATATATGCATGTGAGTAGTCTTGGCCAATCTAAAACAGATTCGGATAAAGAAACTATGTCAAATATCAATTTGTTGTATTGAAAAACGACGAGGACTAACCAGAAATGATGAATATGATCATGATGGTGCTAATCAAAATTAGTAGAGGAGAGGAAGATGATCTCTTGGATTCCACTTTTTTTTTTTATTGAGAGATATGGTGTTTTTAATTTACTGATCGAGAGATCATGGTTTTATAGTTTTTTTTTTTTCACTTTTCCATATTGTGACTTGTGAGATATACCATCAACTAAAAATAGTAATCACACATATATCTTGTAAAAATGGTTGAATCTAGAAACATTTATTTTAGGGGGACTCACAAAAATGTCCCTTTTTTAATCCTCCTTTTCAAAAATGCCCCCTCCCTAATAGCTTCCCTGAAATTGACCATTTTACCCTTAATGAGTAACCAAATTGACGAAGACAAAATTGGGGAACGACGAACCAAAAATCTCGGCGGCTCTCGTCACCTTCACAGCCGACGAACAAAAGGTGATGAGATCTTAGATCCATCGATATCTTCATCTTAGATCCGTCGAGTTCAATCGAGTTCAATCGACGAGGATCAATCGAGTCTGTAATCAAAAATCTGTGACTCATCCCAATCTGCATCAATTAGGTTCGAATCGCTTCTGAAATCTGAACCGTTTAGATCCAAAAGTTCATCGAATTCGTCTTCAAATCTGAATTGATTAATTAAGAGCTTCGATTCTGTGTTTATCTATTTTCTCGAATTTGTCTTGCTTGAAAATTATAATTCGTGTTACCTTTAAAAACTTTCTAAAACCATTGTAAAAATTTCTTCTTCATCTTCTCACTGTATTTATGTTCTTCAGTAACTATTGTACACTATTAGTGAAATAATTTTGATTTACCGTGTTTTTTGTGAAGATTGTAAACCTTTAAAAAATATTGTAAAACCATGAAGAACTTTATAAATACCTTGTGAACTATCATAAAGATACATATGTTTAACATTATAATACATTATCTTTTTTATCAGGTCGTAATGATTGAGTTGAATTGCATATCTGGTGTTTGGAAATTGAAAAATAACAATTGTTGGGATTTTAAATTTGATGTTGAAAGAGGAGGGTCTCTTACTTTTATCAATGAGGATACGTGTTTCACTGATTTGTGTGCTGTTGTTATAGAAGATTTTGGAATTGATGTCGGTATTAATATAGTGAAACTCAGTTATTCATTACCCTCTACAAAAGACACGCCTCCTATGTATATTAGAAATGATAGGCAAGTGCAAGCATTTATGAAAAAGCTTGCGGAATTCAGAGGCGGTATTCAGCTATGTGTAACTGTTGAGAAGGTATTTTACCAACATTCAATTTTGTAAACTGGTTTAACAAATTTGTAAACAGTTTTAATTATCTTTACAGGGGAAAACAAGCAGTAATCCAATGATGGGGACAAGCAACATCTCAATTAGTAGTGAGAGCAATACAGATCCTTATTCTACATATCAAGTCATGAATGAGGTAAAACAGTAAAGAAACCTTGTAAATTAGTAAACAAATCATTAAAATAGCTTGTAAATAAGTTAACAAAGATTCAAAATAACTTGTAAATTTGCAAAAATTATATTACAGGTACAAATGTATTCTGCAAACCCTGCTCCTATAACTTTTGTTTCAGCTCCTGCATGTCATGTCATGAATGAGGTATTTTCAATTCCCTTACAAATTCTTTGAAAATCAGTAAAAAATCTTTTTAAAATACCTTGTAAAACCCTTTTAAAAACCCTTTTTAGTACACTTTTTAAAATAACTTGTAAATCCTTTTAAAATACCTTGTAAAACAATTCAAATCCAAAATTTTTTTGCTTTTGCAGATGGGATTTGACTCAACCATCCCGGAGAGGGTTAGAACTAAAACGGAATCCTTCTCTAATATATCTGAAGGTTCAGCTCCTGTAGGTGGTTCTACTATTTATGCATCTTCAAATACTTTGTATTGTGGAAAGTTGTTCAAGGACAAAAAGGAAATGGGAAGGCAGATGCAGTTATTTGCAATGGAGAATAACTTCGAGTTCCGGACTAAGAAATCAGACTCAACACGGTATACTCTTCTTTGCATTGATGAAAAATGTAGTTGGAGGTTACGTGCAACTAGGGTTAAGGCATCAGATAGTTTTATTATTAAAAAGTATGTTAGTGATGATTCTTCGCTAAGGAAGGTTAATCATCGCCAAGCAACTGCTAGGACATTAGGAGAAATGGTAAGTAATCATTTTCGTGGAGAGAAGCTTGCGCTTAAACCTAAACAACTGATAGAAAAATTCAGACACGACAATGGGATTGGAGTTTCTTATTCAAAAGCGTGGAGAGCTAAAGATCATGCAATCGATGTTGCTAGGGGTACACCTGAAGATGGTTATGAGTTCTTGCCAATGTGGATGTACATGGTAAATGAGAAGAATCCTGGTTCTGCAACCTTCATTGAGGTCGATCCTGACAACAAATTTAAGTACGCATTTCTTGCTTTTGGTCCGTCAATTAGAGGGTTTAAGTTGATGAGAAAAGTGATTTGTATTGACGGTGCTCATTTGAAATCAAATTTTAAAGGGACTTTGCTTGGTGCCTCAGCACAAGATGGTGACTTTCATTTGTATCCTATTGCATTTGGCGTAGTTGATTCAGAAAATGATGCTTCGTGGGACTGGTTTATGAAGTGTTTGAAGAAAATTATCCCGGATGAACCTGATTTAGTTTTTGTGTCAGATCGTGCATCATCAATTGCCAATGCTCTTATTGTTAATTATCCACTTGCTCATCATGGGATCTGCATTTTTCATTTGGAGAAAAACCTTGAGACTGGGTTTAAGTCATCCTCTACGCTTATTCCAGTTATGAAAGATGCAGCTTATGCTTACACAAGGTTTGATTTTGAACAATTGTTCCATGAACTGTCTCTTGCTGACAACAAGATGGCACAGTATCTGTGGGATTTGGATGTCAAAAAATGGTCACGTGCTTGTGCACCTGCCAATCGATACAACATTATGACATCAAACTTAGCTGAGTCTTTGAATTCTCTGTTGAAAGAAAGCCGTGAGTATCCAATTGTCTGTTTGTTTGATACAATTAGGTCTACTCTTACCAGATGGTTCAATGAACGACATGAGAAGGGTACTCGTAATAGGCATTCAGTTACTGTGAATGTGATGAAGCAAGTAAAGACACTGTATGATTCTACTGCACGCTGGCTTGAAGTGTCACAAGTGAATCAACACGTGTTTGAAGTGAAAGGAGGTACGTTGGTTCATGTTGTGAATTTGGAAACAAGAGACTGCACGTGTTGTGTGTTCAATATCACGAAAATCCCGTGTGCTCATGCAATAGCGGCTGCAAAACATATTAATCTTAACGAATATGATTATGTTGATACCTTATACTCCAACAAAAGGTATGTCATATTCTAACTTTACAGGTATGTTACTATATAAAACAAGTTATAAAACTGTATTTTAAAATTTTTTATAACCATTAAAAACCTTGTAAATCAATTTCTTATCAAAATCATCAAAAAACCTTGTAAAATATTATAAAAACATTGTGAAACCCTTATCATGTCTTGTAAAAACTTGTTCAACCTCTAAAAACCTTGTAAGACCTAAAAAAACCTTCTGATTGTCTTGCAAACCTTTGAAAACTCTTACAATTTTTTAAAATTACATCTTTGTTTGACAGTTGGACGCTAGCATATTCAGAGAGTATATATCCCGTTGGTGATAGGACACAATGGGAGGTTCCAGCCGATGTTGCTGCTTTTGTTTGTCGACCACCATCTTCTCGTGTTCCTAGTGGCAGGCCTAAGAAAAAGAGAATACCTAGTGGATGGGAGTATGGAAAATCTGCAACAAATTACAAATGTCGTCGGTGTGGTCAAAATGGACACAACAAAAGTAGTTGTGTGGCTCCAATATAGTTTTTATTTTATTTTATTACATAACATATTAAGTATTTTGTGACTTTTTTAAAAAATATTATTGAAAAACTTTCATAACTTGTTATAAAACCTTTTTTACGTTTATTCTTGGAGAAAGGTGTTACTACGTTTTCAAAAAGTTGTTACACTTGTAAGATCTATATAAAATCTTTTTAAAACCCTTGTAAAACTCTTTAAAACACTTTAAAAAACCTTGTAAAACCTTATAAAACTCTTGTAAAAACCTTTTAACCTACAAAAAGCCTTGTAAAACACTTTAAAAACACTTTTTAACCTCTTTTAAAACCATCATAAAACCCTTGTAAAAACGTATTAACCTATAAAAACCCTTGTAAAACCCTTATAAAATCACAAAATTTCAAAAATCATCCAATGTCACAAAAACTCGATTTTGAAGGGGAAATAACCTAATTTGGCATATGAATCAAAAAAGTAACGAAGTTTTAAAGTAATTTAACCGTAAAATCGACTGATGTGACGGAACCCAAAACCCTAGGCAGATGAAATCGAAGAAGCCGAAAAGTCGAGATTGAACCTTATGAAAACGGAGAAGACGAGATTGAACCTTATGAAAACGGAGAAGCCGAGATGGAACCAAAACTGTAGAATCTAAAGCCGTGAAGCTAAGCGAAAACCCTTAATTTATTCTTCTTGTACTCAACGGAGAAGGAGACTGAGAGAATCGGTTTTTTTCCCCTTCTATTTTTTTTTTTCTCTATCAAATGGGTTTTAAAGTGTTTTAAAGGTTTTTTCTTTTTTATTTCGGCCCAACTATTTACAACTATCTTATTCTTAGTTCGATTAAAAACAGGTTGTAAAACCATTTTAAAACACGTTATAAACTTTTAAAACACACTGTAAATCTTTGAAAAATATATTATAAAACTAAAATTACCTTGCAAAATTTTGAAAAATCTTTTAAAAACTTGAAAATACTTTGTAAAACAATTGTAAATTTAAAGAATCATGAAAAATTTGATAAAAATATAAATAAGATGGTTTTATTTTCATAAGCTTATAAACATTGTAAAACCTTAAAAGTTCTTTCTATATATAATCATATACATTGTAAAAACATTAAAATGGTATAGATGAAGACTTAACATTGTAAAATGTTTAGATAGCTTTTAAAAATTAACATCAAAAGATAAAATGGTATAAATGAAGATTGGATGTTATAGATGCAGGTACATAGAAAAAAAAAACTTAAATTCACAACTAGAGAGTTATACAAAGTAAAATTCATGCGAAAATCACTACAGATATTCTCAGCAAAAATTAAAAATTTGTAAAACAGCAACGTTTTCTTCAAAAAGAACAGATCATTTTTCCCCCAGCAATCTTTTCTTCCCAGCTCTTACAATTAGCCCCTGATCAAAGTAATAAATCAAGAAATATAAGCTTAGTTGTAGGTTTCTAATTTACATGTTAAAACCTGAGAGAAGTCTTACCTAGAAATCTGTTATTTCTGTAAAGATGTCAACCGCAAGTTTCTTTATCATGTCTCCAATTTTTCCTTCTGAAAGTTTCTCATTTGCATTAATATGCATAGCATAGCATTCCATCATCTTCATCATGTACATCCCAGTATCTTCAATCTTTTCAGCCTAGCATCAAAAACAAAAAAAGACATATAAAAAAGGTTTTAATGAATACAATCTACAATCTCACTTATCACAAAATTTACCTGTGATATATTGTCCACTACAGATATTTTGAATGCTGAAACATCCATATCTGTTTTGTTGAGGAGCTTGCGCAAAATGTACGGCATCGCAACAGAATATGCAACCACATGCATCCTTTTAACATTTTCTGAAACAAATGATGTCGCGTAATCGAGAATGATCAAAGACCTTCTCTCGATATTGATCACTACTGGAACCCAACATTTTCCTTTCAAGCACATAGGAGCATATATGTAATTTGTCTTGCTTCCAATCTCCAGCTTACTTATCTCTTCAGAACTAAACTGAAAATCATCTTTTGCGACTACAAACTCAGCATACTCATCGTCAATCGCATTTAAGAAAGATGATCCAACAAAAACAACAGTTTTGTTAAGGTACATTTCTGGATGATTTTCCCTTCTAGTTTTGATCAAGTGTAAAGCTGCATCAACATGCTAAGAAAAACACACACAAAAAGGAAAACAAATTACTCATGTTTGCTAGTCTATATGAACTTTAAAATTTACAATGGTTTTTTAAAGTTTTACAAGATTAGAATACTTGAAAGAAAATCATACATACCGATCCTGATATTGGTTTCCCCTGCGTTTCTAGTGTTGTGAACCATTTGGAATCTACTTTGATTCCCCCAACTGTTAGCACCCTACAACAAATATATATATATATATATATATATATAATTATAAGAACATCCAATGAGTCAATGTAACATCCAATGAGGCAATGTAAAATCTTTAAAATACGTTGTAAAATACATTGTAAAAGTCAGAGATGATGTAAAACCTTTAAAATACGTTATGAATATTATTTTGAGTTTTACAAACTTAAAACTCACTTGTTTTTTGTCGACTTCTTCCATTCACATAAACTTTCAAACCTTTTTGTGTCAACTTTTGCAAAGGGGTGAAGTGTTGGGTGCTTCTTCTTCTCTGCCGTGTAAGGTGGCTGAGAATAAATGGAAGGCACTTGACTTCGCTGGCTTCTTCTTGATGGACCATCAGCTTTTGATTTATTATCTACATCTTGTTGACTAGTTTTTAGTGGAACATCATTATCAGTTTTATCCCCTAATTCTTGATCACATGTTCTTGTTCCAAGATCAGCAGCAACTTTGTCAGTATTTTTGCATTTTTTTCTCTGAGGCTGCAAACAAAAAAAACAAAAAAACACTTATAAAAACAACTTGTAAAAATTTCAAACAATGCCACGAATACTCAGTTTAAAACAATGCATTCCTTGTGAAGTAATAAAAGACATTACAATTTGTAAAACTTGTAATGTCTTTGCTTATATATGTACAAAAGAAATGCAACAATGCATTCCTTGTGAAATTAGTTTATAAAAACGAACAGATTGTTTTACAAAATTGAATTCTTACCTGTTTTCTTGTAGGAATATCATTATAAGAATTATCCCCTTTGTTGGTGTCGGATCCCGCACCAGAAGTCCGAGACCAACCAAAGATTGCCACGTAGTCAAGATAATGGCCCATAAAGGATGAAGCCCATTGGACCCATGAGCCGAAGGAACAGTCGAAGTGGTTGTCACCACTTCGAGAATCCGAAGTGACTGCACTGTGACATGAGTTCGGTGTAGAAGACACGGGTAAGTCGGTTCAAGGACACTTGGGCCAAAAAGGCGAGGCCCACGAAGATCAGAGTCAACTCAAATTCAAACGTTGAGCATTAAAGTCAAGGAATCAAAACGGACACATTTAAGAAGGAATAATTGTACTTAATTACTCATTTTAATGTCGTTTCTCTATGTATAAATATAAAGGCCAATGGCCATGTAAAGGGATCTCCCTCTGGAGCAAGAAATACAATAGCAATTTCTGTAGCAATTCATAAGCCTTTTCACGTTCTTACTTTTTGTCCCTCAAGAATCATCTTTCCTATTAATAAAAATACTTGAGTGTGTAAATCCGACATCCACATTTTGGCGCCGTCTGTGGGGAAATAGGATTCTTGAGTGGTCAGATTTTTCTTTATTACATTTCCGAGATAAGCAACAATGTCCGGAGGAGACACCGTTGAGACATCATTGGCTGAAACCCTCAAAGCTATGCAGCAAACCATGTCGGACATATCACAAAAGTTCTCGGATGTGGAAAAGGCCGTCGATACGTTGCAAACATCCCAGGTATCTCTTAGTCAAAACGTCAATACTATACAAACTCGTGTTCGCTCTTTAAGTGCAGGAAACCTTGTGGGAATCCGAAGAGGGATATTCAACTCGCCAAGTTCCGCTGCACAAAATGAAACCAGCGGACAAACAACTCCCGGTGCTACTAATAATGTAGTTCAGACGTTGGAAGAAGAGACACAGCTCAGAGATGAAGAACAACTTGCAGCTCAATACGAGCAGAAGAACCTCGATCAGTTCGAGACCATGAGGAAGGTTAGCCAGGAATTAAAAGAAATGAAATCAAAATTTCATCAAGCTACAAGTTCGGAGCCAGACATCAATCGAGTCATTGAAGAAGCTAGGCGAACACCTTTCATCTCGCGAATTGCAAGTTTGAGGATCAAAGATTCCCGGAAACTCAAGTTGGACCCTTACAGCGGATTGGAGGATCCAAAAAGCTATCTCGCAGCTTTTCTGATCGCTGCTGGAAGAGTCGAATTGGATGAAGCTGTTGAGGACGCAGGCTACTGCAAGCTTTTTTCGGAGAATCTATGTGGCCAAGCTCTAATGTGGTTCACCCAATTAGAGCCAGGTTCGATCAGCAATTTCGACGAACTATCAGCCGTATTCTTAAAGCAATACTCCATCCTTATGGATAAAAGCGTTTCGGATGCCGATCTTTGGAACTTATCGCAAGGATCTAATGAGTCACTTCGAGTTTTCATCACCAAATTCAAAGGAGTGCTGTCAAAGCTCCCAAGAATCTCGCAGCAATCAGCTTTATCTGCCCTACGAAAAGGATTGCGACATGATTCAAGGTTTAAAGAAGACTTAATACTTCATAAACCAGACACAATTCAGGATGCACTCTTTCGCGCGAACAACTAGATGGAGGTAGAGGACAAAAAAGAAAGTTTTGCCAAAAGAAATAAACAAGAAAAGCCAGCAATCACCGTCCCTACCAAGAAGTTCGAGCCTAGGGAGAGCAAAGGACCAAGGAAATTTGGGTCGCAACCCTTCAACAGTACCGTCGGAAAGCAATTCCAAGGGAAAGGAAGATCAAACACTTGGGTCCGTGATGAAAGTCTATATTGCGACATTCATAAAGTAACCGGACATTTAACCAAGGATTGCAGCGTTCTTAAAAGGCACCTCGCAGAGCTTTGGGCTAGTGGAGATCTTTCCAAATTCGATATAAAAGATTTTGTGAAGGAATACCACGAAGCAAAGGGAAGTTCCGAAGATCAAAATTCTAAAAGACCAAGGTTAACCAACGAAGAAGAACCAAGGAATTCTATGGGTAAGATCAATGTTATTCTAGGAGGTTCCAAATTTTGCGGAGATTCGATAAGTTCCATCAAGAAACATAGACGAAATATCCTGCTCAAAGCAAGCTTAAGCGAAGAAGTCGATTTTCAAGGTGCATCAATATCATTTAATGAGGAAGAAACGCGATACCTCGAAAGACCTCATGATGATGCTCTAGTCATTAACCTTGACGTTGCCAACTTCGAAGTATCAAGGATCCTTATAGATACAGGCAGTTCGGTCGATTTGATCTTTTTAAGTACTCTAGAAAGAATGGGAATTAGTCGGGCGGATATAGTGGGGCCTCCGACTCCATTAGTTGCGTTCACAAGTGAATCAGCCATGTCTCTCGGGACAATCAAGCTACCGGTCCTTGCCAAAAAAGTATCGAAGATCGTGGACTTTGTTGTCTTCGATAAGCCCGCAGCTTACAACATCATCCTCGGTACTCCCTGGATTTATCAAATGAAAGCAGTCCCCTCTACATATCATCAATGTATCAAATTTCCAACGTCAAGAGGAGTAGAAACAATTCGGGGAGACCAAGAAGCTTCACGGACGTGTTATCTAGCTAGCCACCGTATGAAGATTCAATAGCAATTAATGAAGCCCGCAAAAGAAGGACTAAGAACAAAATTTCCTAGCGGGCAAAAGAAAGATGATATAGTAATCGAAGTGGTGTTGGAAGAAGACAAGCCGGACCGGAAAATTCGAATTGGGGCAACTTTGACTGGCCAAATAAAAGAAGCTTTGATCGAACTCTTAAGGAAAAACAAAACATCGTTTGCATGGTCAGCAGCGGACATGCCTGGCATAAATCCAAGTATAATTTGTCATGAACTAAACGTGGATCCAAGCTTCAAACCGGTGAAACAAAAAAGAAGAAAGCTTGGAGTGGAGCGAGCGAAAATAGTAAATGACGAAGTGGATAAACTTTTGAAGATAGGGTCCATAAGAGAAGTGCAATATCCGGAATGGGTAGCAAACACTGTCGTTGTCAAGAAAAAGAATAGGAAGGATAGGGTTTGCATCGACTTCACAGACCTCAATAAAGCATGTCCCAAAGATAGTTTCCCGCTCCCACATATAGATCGACTTGTAGAGTCCACCGCTGGGAACGAGATGTTAACATTCATGGATGCCTTCTCGGGTTATAATCAAATAATGATGAACCCCAAAGACCAAGAAAAAACGTCGTTTATCACTGATAGAGGTATCTATTGTTACAAGGTAATGCCTTTTGGTTTGAAAAATGCAGGAGCAACATATCAACGGTTGGTTAACAAGATGTTCCATAATCATCTCGGGAAAACAATGGAAGTCTACATAGATGATATGTTGGTTAAATCGTTAAAGAAAGAGGATCACATT